AAAAGTAAGAGGATTGATTGGGGACTTACACATTGATAGTGTGAACATTCCGGTATATGATCCAAAAACTGTCAATAAATAGGTTGGTATAGTTGCAAGAATACTGGTTAAACTGAAAGCTAGTGTGGTGGAAATTGGTAAATGACTAACAGCAGCACTCAATAAAACTCTTGTAACCAAATCTGCAACTCCCATCAGTGTTAGAATATAAGTGATTTTGCTTTCGCCAATAGCATTACTTTTCATCAAACTGCCCTATAAAAAGAAGCAATTTAGAAAAAAAGGAGAAAAAGTTATGGTTTTGTTATTCTAGGGACAACTATTTATTGTTTGAATTGCGCATGTCCAATGTAAAGCAAACGTTTTCAGAATATCCGTATGCGCTCGGTAAAATAGTCGATTCGCTCGATTCACTGGTTGTTGGACTATAGGGGTGTAAAAAATTACTAACTATACATAGCCTATTTATCAGACGAAGCCTGGCCGAGCGGTAAAGGCGCATGTATTATGTGGAAAGTTAATCGACTGTTCAGTCTGACGAATTTCTGAAAAAAAATGTTGGCTGTAGGCTAAGTAGTTTTTACCTTTGACCCTTCAAAATTTAATCATCTTTAGGTTATTGATCATGGAACATTGTGCCTGCCCGCCCAGGGATTGGTTTGTAGTCTAGTCTTCACGGATGAGTTGATAAAAACGGTCCGGTATTCAGTACCCATCTTGCTCGAATGCTCCTTCAGAAAAGTATAGTGGTGTTCTGATCCTCTTTTATTTTTGAATTGTGTGAACATAAAGGTACGCCTGCCTACTGCTGCTACAGTAGACAATTGAGGACACAGTATCATTAAATTGCATTTGCTGCATTTATTCACGCGAATCGAACATTTTCGCCTATACGCCTGCGCAGTTTAATTTTCATCACGAGATTCTCAATTGCGCATGCGTACAGGCGAAAATGTTCGATTCGCAGTTCGTCCGTCTTCAAATCGTACCATATTAACAAAAGTAAAGGTAATTGTGACTGCGGTGATAAAGAACCCGATCGAAAGAAGCCAACATTCCACTCTGCTGAACATTTTTACATAGATCCACAATTGTATTTTCAGTGACGACGGCGATGTAGATGAAAGAGATGATTCAGTTGGTGTCATATCTTCATTTAATTTTTCCATTTGTTCTCTAAAATAGTAATTAAGCAGTTGGTTAGTTTACCTTCGAAAGTAGCGTGAAGAGATACATGTAATTGACATGTTTACCAGTGTTTTTTACTGATTTGTCCTGTTCAAGATATTGACTGTTGATTATAATAATTCCGATAACGATAATGATGATATATATAATGATTGGTATATGATGATAATGAATGAGGATATGATAATTTCTTAATGATCATTATGATGAAAACAGATTATGATAGGCATATTGTGAATGATGATGACAACGATGATGACATTATCATTAATTATATAATTAATATACTCATGATATTTACAATGGTAATGATGATGATCATAATACTGGTAATTGTATAAAATGCTATAACAAAAATATAACTACAGTATAACAAAAATATTCACTTATTATCATGTTGCTCTTGATTATCTTTCGTTGACGTATCCTCTGGTAGGCGATAAATAAACGCTAAGGCAACACCAACAAACAAAAAGGATGATGCTAGAACAAGAATCGAAGCTTTCCAACCGAGCGACAACAAAAGTGTTTCAATTATTAACGGAAGGACCATCACACCTACATTGAAATCAATATAATACTTTAATAAATAGCTTAAAGTTGTCAATATAGATCAGTCTAACCACGGAGAAAGAAAATCATTGTTTGTTCTTCCTCCATGGCCTATCTGCCTTTCTTATGGGTATTATTCGATTAGTGGTTCTCACAGTGGTACGCTTAGGTAGGCCTACCATTTATTCGTATATGTTATAAAATCTGAAAATCTTGAGTTGTGTTAAAGCCTACCCTTTGACAGTTATAAGTTATAACTGTATATATATATATATATATATATACATATATATATACATACATATATACATATATACATATACATATATATACATATACATATATATACATATATATAT